CTCGTCAGCCTGGCTGACAGCCCAAGTACCCCCTTGAGCCAAGACTGGGAGGGAGGGGAGGAAAGGCAAGATGGGAAGAGGGGAGGGGGGAGGAGGGGGGCCTGGGAGCGTATGACGTCAGCATCGACGACGAGTTTGGCGAGATGCCCCAGCGCTCCGCTGATGACCGTGCGCACGGCGTCGCTCAAGGCTGGGCAGAGTTTACACTTGAGCGAGGTACGTCGTTGCTGAGCTTAGCATCGCAGGGCCCCTTCCATCCGATCGATCCGGTTTGATATCGATTCTTGCAGGCCCAATCCGATTCGACTCCAACGTTTCGACGCTCCGATGCGGCCCGATGCTAGCACGGCGCTTGTGTGCATTCTGGCGCGGCCAGTCCGATTTGATTCTGTCCCCGTGCCAATCTGGCCCGATCCAATGCATGTTCCAATCTGGGCAGGTATCGAGATTCGACGCTGGCTGCTCCAGTCATCGTGGTCGCCGAGTTCGTCACAAAATTGGAATGTGGTATGCCGCAAGCGAAAAGCCCCAGGATGGATACACGTTTTCAGGGGACCAGCAACCATACAGAAGTTCCGAGAGCTAGCAGAGTGCCACTCAGCACTGATTAACGAAGACAGTGAGCAAGGCCACGGTGAGCATTGTAACCTCAGCCCCGTCCCACATCTATTCTCTATCAATGTGCCCTGTGAAGTTGGTAAGTTCCCAGGGCACAACAATGTTGCGTGTGTGTGTGTGTGTGTGTGCATCTGCAAACCTTTTGTGCATCTCCGACCCCGCCATTGCCGACTACACAAGCATAGTTTCTAGCAATGCCTTCCCTTCTGGGCAGCCAGCTGCTCACAGCTTGCATGGGTGACCATTCTCTCAAACTCGCGCAACCGGCTGGCGTGCCCTAGCCGCTAGCCCACAGACGATACGCTGACGGCAACATGTCGATGCCACTGAACGAAGGGCCTCTGCCGATTGCCGAAGGAGGAGGAGGAGGCGGATGAGGAGTTTGAGGGAGGGGGAAGGAGGAGAAGGAGAATGAGGATGATGCGGGAAAGGAGGATGAGGAGGTGGAGGTGAAGGGATGATGAAGATGATGATCATGCTCATTATGATTCTGATGATGATGCTGCGGATGATGCTGATGATGATGATTCTGATGATGATGCTGATGAGGATGATGATGATGATGAACATGATCCGAGCACGGTGGATGACCATCACCAACAAGATACAGGCTAACGCGCGCGACCCATTTTGGCGCAGTTTGGCTCTTGTGGACAACCGCTGTCCCAGCCCTGTCGCCAACGACGACCTGGCCCGCTCCCTTGCGCCGAGGAGGCCGAACGGGGCTCATCAATACAAATGCGGTGGTGGTGAATCTACACCACCAAGATGTGCGGTTTCTGTAGACCTCCACCAAAAAAGATGTGCGGTTTCTCTTTTGGGAACTCCCCTCCTGTGGCGCCCGTGCGCCGCGCTGCGCTGCTGTTCGCCGCGGAGGCGTGGCGTCGTCTGACGCAGCCCTATGTCCGATCTGTTTTGCAACTATTTCTGTTGCAGGTGCGTGTGGTCTCTTCAAATTGGCCTCAAAGATGATGATGATGCTGATGCTGATGATGCTGATAATGATGATGATGATGATGATGATGATGATGATGATGATGATGATGATGATGATGATGATGATGATGATGATGATGGTGTTGCTGATGCTGATGCTGATGATGATGGTGGTGGTGGTGATGGTAATGGTGATGGTGATGGTGCTGGTGCTGGTGATGGTGGTGATGATGCTGCTGATGATGATGATAATAATGATGATGATGGGAATGATGCTGATGATGACGTTGATGATGAGGACAGCGACGGCGACGACGATGACGACGGCGATGACGACGACGACGACAACGATGCTGATTTTCATGGTCATGCTAGTAGTATTGATGACGATGCTGATGATGCTGATGATGCTGATTATGATGATGCTGATGGTGATGATGCCAGTGATGGTGATGGTGGTAGTGATGATGATGCTGATGATGCTGACGACGATGATGATGCTGATGCCGATGATGATGACAGCGACGATGATGACCACGACGACGAGGATGACGACGATGCTGATGATGCTGATGATGCCGGTGATGGTGATAGTGATGGTGATGGTGATGATGGTGATGATGCTGCTGATGATGCTGATGACGACGTTCATGATGATGATGGTGATGATGATGATGATGATGCTGACGATGACGATGGTGATGACGACGACGGCGTCGACGAATACGACGACGGTAATGACGACGACGATGATGATGATGATGATGGTGATGGTCATGGAGATTGTGATGGTGGTGATGATGCAGCTGATGATGCCGATTCTTATGATGGTGCTGATGCCGATATGTTGTGCAACCATTTCTTTTTCAGGCGGTGGTGGTCTATCTAAATTGGCCTCGCAGATGGAGATGATGATACTGATGATTATGATGATGCTGATGATGATAATGATGGTGATGGTAATGGTCATGGAGATGGTGATGGTGACGACGATTATGATGCTGATTATGATGCTGTTGATGATGATGACGATGATGACGATGACGATGACGATGACGATGCTGATGATGATGATGATTAGGATGACGATATCATCGGTGATGATGCTGATGCTGATGCTGATGCTAATGCTGATGATGCTGATGATGGTGATGATGATGATGATGATGATGACGATGACGATAGGGATGATGACGAAGACGGTGACGACGACGACCATGACGACGACGATTATGACGATGATGATGCTCATGCTGTTGCCGATGATGATGCTGTTGATGATGATGATCATGATGATGATGATGATGATGATGATGATGATGATGATGATGATGATGATGATGATGATGATGATGATGATGACGACAACGATGTTGAAAATGATGATGATGATGATGATGATGATGATGATGATGATGATGATGATGCTGATGATGCTAATGTCGATGGTAATGGTGATGATGATGATAATGATGATGATGCTGATGATGAAGACGATGATGACGGTGATGAGGACGAGGACGAGGACGAGGAGGAGGAGGAAGAAAAGGACACGGTGGAAATATATGACGCGGACGTAGATGATTACAATGAATGTGTTAGCCAGCATTGACTCTGAGTGGCACGCTATTCTACTGTGGACGTGTTAGCTATGTTATGCAAACATGTGGTGTACGTTATGCAGTGAAAGCCATGTGGTAAAATCTCTGTGGTGAAATCTGAGTGGCGCAGTCTGCGTGGCGCAAGCTGTGTGGTGCAAGCTATGGGGTGCACGATCTGTGGTGCAAGCTATGTGGTGCAAGCTACGTGATGCAAGCTATGCGGTGCAAGCTATGTGGTGCCATCTGCATGGGGCCATCTATTGCGAGGCGGGCGCGGGGCGGCCACGTGCGGCAGCGTGGCGAAATCTCGCCGGACCCACCCAGTGCACGAGGCGGCCACGAGGAGGCCATGGGCGCCAACGTTGCGAAACAGTGCCGGGAGCCACCCGACGCACGAGGCGACCACGAGGCGGCCACGGGCGGCAACGTGGCGAAACCTTCCCGGTCGGACCCGCACCGCGCACGAGGCCGCCACGAGGCGGCCACGGGCGGCAATGGGGGCAGTCCGCGCCAGACCCACCCAGCGCACGAAGCGGCCAGGGGCGGCGACGTGGAACGTCCTCGCCCTCGCCAGATGCAGTGCCCTAGAGCAAGAAGTTAGAACCCCTAGATGCAAGCACGTTCCGCTCTAGGAGCCAGGAGGACGGGGGAGGAGGAGGAAGAGGAGGCGAGGACGACTGCGAGGAAGGGCAAGAGACGCAGAAGGAAGAACACGAGGGCGAGGCGGGAAGAGGAAGAGCTAGGTGAGGATGCGGAGGTTTAGGCGAAGGATGACGATGAGGACGAGAAACAGGATACATGTGGCTGAGGATGTGAAACATTATGATGATGATGATGATGATGATGATGATGATGATGATGATGATGATGATGATGATGATGATGATGATGATGATGATGATGATGATGATGGTGGTGGTGGTGGTGATGAAGATGATGGTGGTGGTGGTGGTGGTGATGGTGATGGTGATGATGATGATGATGATGATGATGGTGATGATGATGATGATGAAGATGATGATGATGATGGTGGTGGTGGTGATGCTGATGATGCTGATGCTGATGCTGATGCTGATGCTGATGCTGATGCTGCTGATGATGATGACGATGACGATGAATGATGATGATGGATGATGATGATGATGATGAGGAGGAGGAGGAGGAGGAGGATGATGATGATGAGGAGGAGGATGACGATGAGATGATGATGATGATGATGATGATGATGATGATGATGATGATGATGATGATGATGATGATGATGATGATGATGATGATGATGATGATGATGATGATGATGATGATGATGATGATGATGATGATGACGACGACGAGATGATGATGATGAGATGATGATGTGATGATGATGATGATGATGATGACGACGATGATGACGATGATGATGATGATGAGGAGGATGAGGATGATGAGACGACGACGCGATGATGATGATGATGATGATGATGATGATGATGATGATGATGATGATGATGATGATGATGATGATGATGATGATGATGATGATGATGATGATGATGATGATGATGATGATGATGATGATGATGATGATGATGATGATGATGATGATGATGATGATGATGATGATGATGATGATGATGATGATGATGATGATGATGATGATGATGATGATGATGATGATGATGCTAACGACGATGACGACGACGATAACGACGACGATGCGGAGGATGATGATGGGGAGGAGGAGGAGGAGGAGGAGGAGGAGGAGGAGGAGGAGGAGGAGGAGGCGGACAACCACGAGTGGGGCGAGACGGGAGCTCCAGGAGGAGGCTCAGTCGGACAGCGCAGGGGTGGGCGCCCGCGGAGGACGAGCGCAAGCCGACGCCCAAGAGGCAGAGGCCCGCGGCGGAGCCCGGGGCGGACGGGCAGAGGCCCGGCGTGCCCGAGGCCGTGCCCCAGGAGGCCCGCTGCGGGCCCTCCGCCTCCTCGCTCGCTGCTCTCCTCCTCCACGCGCCCTGGTCCTTCTCCCTCGCCTTTCCCCCCCCCCCCCCCCCACCCATCCCCCCTCCTCCGCTCTCCTCCTCGCCCTCGCTGTCCTCCCTCTCCCCCTCCTCGTTCTGCTCCCCCTAGCCTCTTCCTTCCCCTCTCCTCCGCGCTCCTCCTCGCCCTCGTCGTCCTCCCCTCTCCCTGCCCCCCCCTCTCCCTGCCCCCCCCTCCTGCTCCTCCTCCCTATCTGCCCCCCTCTGTTTCCCCTGTCTTCTCGCCTACTCCGTCGGACCGCCTCGCTGTCAGCCGAGGCTGCCAGAGGCCCCCCTCTCTTTCCTCTGCTCCTCGCCTACTTCGTCGGGCCGCCTCGCTGTCAGCCGAGGCCGCCACAGACGGCGCCGAGGCCGCCAGGGACGACGGTGCCAGCAACGTCGACTTCCTTGTGGAGGAGGTTCGCCTCTCCTCTCCCTCCTGCAACTCCTGCGGCGCATGGGTGGGGAGGAAGAGGAGGAGGAGGAGGAGGAGGAGGAGGAGGAGGAGGAGGAGGACGTTGAGGCGGAGGCGGGGGCGGAGGCGGCGGAGGAGGCGCAGGAGGAGGAGGAGGAGGAGGAGGAGGAGGAGGAGGAGGAGGAGGACCAGTGGAAACGCAGGACGCATCAACAATGTTGCAAGAACCCCTCCCTCCAAGCTCCCTTCTCACAGGTCTCTAGAATAATTTACTTTCAGTATGGGAAGTGGCCCAATAGAAGATAACCGTCTGATAATCGTCAATCGTACTACAACAACGTTCCTGGGACTTCAACTTCGCAGATCAACGTGACTCTTGCGTCCTGACAGTTTCAAAATCATGCCAGAACACCGGCCCTGAGACTTCAGCATCGAGAATCAGCGCTAGTGTTGCGCCCCTACCAGTCTCATGTGTACCGGGACCGAATGTCTTGGACCTCGGCTATACGAACTTTTGAAGCTGTTGCAAACTTACAAGACGAATGTGCGCAGCGCTAAGGCGAGAGCCACATTTTGAAACGGAGCCGCCCTCAATTCGTGAAGCTGTGGCAAACTTGTAAGTCGAATGTGTTCGGCGCCGAGGCGAGAGTTTCGATTACCACCCGCCCTCCATCAGTGAAGCTGTTGCGAATTTTGGAGACGCATGCGCGCGGCGCTCAGGCGAGAACAATATTTTGAAAACCACCAGCCCTTTATCCGTGAAGCTGCTGCGAACTTTTAAGACGAATGTGTGCGGCGCTCAGGCGAGAGCCACATTTTGAGAATGACCCGCCTTCCATCCGTGCAGCTACTGCGAGCTTCTATCGCGAATGTGCACGGCGCTAAGGGCGAGAGCAACATTTTGAAAACGGTCCGCCCTCCATCCGTGAAGTTGTTGCAAATATCAAGTTTCAAGGTCATACATGGCGACGAAGTCTCATGCGAAGCGCCCAGCCCGTCCTACCGGCACGCCTGGGGGTGCTACAGGGAGGCGTCGTGTATCAGGATGTTAGTCAGCGTGGGCCCCAAACGGTGTGTTCTAGTACACTAGCTGGAGCAATATACGTGGTGCAATGAGTGTGGTGCATTCTATGTGGTGAAATTAATGTCTGTTCGCAGTGAGTTGTCCACTCCACTGCTCGCGCAAACATCCCACCCACCCACCCGCAACTTGGCTTGCAAAATCTCTTAAGACCGTGACGGTGGGTACCAAATAGCACTTGGCAACGACAGTGACGCCGACGACGACAGCGACAACGACGACGACGCCGCCGACAACGACTACGACGACACCGACGACGTCTCCAACGACTTCGGCGACGCCGACAACGACGACGACGACGATGATACCGACGACAATGATTATGATGCCGACGCCGACGACGATGACGACGACGATGACAACGACGACGATGACGACGCCGACGACGACGATAACGACGACGACGTCAACGACGCCGCCGACGACGACGACGACGACGGCTGCGACGACGACGACGCCGATGTCGACGAAGACGAAGACGACGACGCCGACACCGACGACGACGAAGACGACGACGACGTCGCCAACGAAAACGACGACGAGAGAGGAGGGAGGACGACGACGGCGACAACGACGACAACGACGACAACGACGAGGGAGGAGGGAGGACGGCGACGACGCGAACGACGAAGAAGGAGGAAGGACGGCGACGCCGACGACGACAACGACGAGGGAGGAGAGAAGACGACGACGACAACGAGACGAACGACGACGAAAAGGAGGGACGACGACGAGGCCGACGACGACGACGAGGGACGAAGGACGACCACGGCGACAACGACGACGGAAACGACCACGACGCCAAAGAGGACGACGACGACGAACACGAGGAAAGACAGAGGACGACGTAGGCGACGACGACGACGACGCGGGAGGAGGGAGGACGGCGACGACGACGACGACGACGACGCAAGAGCGCGCGCGCACGCTTTTGTTGAAAATCCGTGTTGCGAAACCTTGTGTTTTTGTAGTTTTTTTTGGACACACGATTTGAAATCCTTCCGATGCCGATGGGTTTTGAAGGATTTCTCGTACGCGCGCGACGACGCGCGCGTCTGCACTTCGTTTCTTTTTTTGCAGAGGATTCTCTCGATGGCACACGCGCAAGGGCGTTCGAAAGATTTCGACATGCGCGCGCGCGAAGCCCGTTTGGTAGCATTTTATGAAACTCTTGAAACACCTATGGTTGTCTTAAGATTTCGCAAGAGCTCGCGCGTAAGCTTTTTTAGCAAATCAGTGTTGCGAAACCCTGTGTTTTTGTATGTTGTTGGGAAACTCGACTGCGACATCCTTCCGACACCGAAGGTTTTTGGAGGATTTCGGCATGCGCGCGTGACGACGCGCGCGTTTGCACTTCGTCCCTGTTTTCGCAAGGGATTCTCGAACAAGTCTTATGTTAGAACAAAAAATGTCAGCGCGTATGGTTTTTTACAAGGGAACCTCGGGGGGAGCGATACCGCCCCCCTGGGACAGTGTAAATTCATGTTCAGGATGGACATGTGGTCAGAATCATACATGATTTACATATCCGAAAAGGGGGAGGATAACGCCGGGGGGGGGGGTAGAGTCTATTCTCTTTCTAGAAAGGAGAATTGATTTTAACAAACGAGTTGACACATCCCATGCTCATGCAAACATCCCACGCACCCACCCGCAACTTGGTTTGCAAAACCCACGCGGTGGCGATTGCGATGCGTGCTTGGCGTTGGCTGGTGCATCTCTGCGACCGCGCCAACCTTAGCACGCCCGCGCAGCGGCCAGCTAGTTTGGCGCCACCGACGCGGCCGCGGTGGCGCTGACCGCTGGGCGGGCGCATCCCACCGGGCACTCCTCTGCGAGTCGGCGACATGGGCGGGCGCAGTATCATGGCAACGCCGACAACGGTAGACACGATGATGATAGTAGCGATGCTGGTGACGATGTTGGCACCGACGAAGGCGCGGCCAGTGCGGGCGCCGATGCTGATTGATCACTCCGGCGACGGTGACGGCGTCCTCACGTCGGCGATGAAGGTTTCGGAGAGCGTTCGACATGCCCGCGCGGCCGACGCGCGAGAGTGGTCCGCATGGTTTAATTGGACACGAATCGTGCCCCCCCACGCGCGCGCGCAAGGGCGTGCGAATGATATCGGCATGTGGCGCAAGAGGCCCGCTTGGCCGAATTCCGCGAACATGTTGAACAACGGATGGTTTTCTTAAGACTTCGCAACAGCGCGCGCGAGCTTTTTTGAAAACGAATGTTGCGAAGCCATGTGTTTTTGTATGTGTTTAGATATTCGGTTTTGAACTTGTTACGAAATCGACGGTTTAGGATTCTGGCATGCGCGCGCGACGACGCGCGCGCGTGCACTTCGCTTAATTGTTTAGCAAAGGGTTCTCGCGACGGCACGCGCGCAAGGGCGTTCGTACGATTTCGACATGCGCGCGCGAGAAGCCCGTTTGGTAGTATCTTCTGAACTTGTTGAACAATTTATGGTTTCCCAGAGAATTCGCAAGAGCGCGCGCGCGCTTTTTTGAACATCCATGTTGCGAAAGTATGCGTTCCTATATGTTTTTTTTGGACAAACGATTTTGAAACCCTTACGACACCGTGAGTTTCTGAAGGATTTCGGCATGCGAGCGCGACGACGCGCGCGTGTGCACTTCGCTTCATGTTCTTGGGATCCATGGGAACTGATAGTTTTTGATCGACAAGTGTGTGCGCATATTTTTTTGCAGATGATGAGGGGTGGGTGGGTGTCGAACCCGGCTGGGTTGGGAAAATACGAGTTCATGTTTAGGATGGACGATGGGGCAAAATCGTGTGTAAATTGCAACACAAAAAGGTGTACCGATAAAACCGGGAAAGGGGGGTGATTGATCAGACATTTTTTTTGAAGGAGAATCGATGTGGCGCAATCTATGTGATACAATCTATGTGGTGCAATTCGCCCTGCCGAAACTGAAACTGTCAACTCCACTGCTCGCGCAATCATCCCACCCACCCACCCGCAATCTGGTTTGCCAAACCCATGCGGCGGCGATTGCGATGAGTGCTTTCGGCGCTGGCTGGCACATGGAAGCGGCCGCGCTGGCGCACATACTCGCGCACAAACGGGCAAGCTAGTTTGGCGCCATCGACGCGACCGCGGTGGCGTTGACCGCGTCGAGTTGGGCGGGCGCGGTATCATGGCAACGCCGACAACGGTAGACGCGATAATGATGATGGCAGCTGGTGACGATGATGACAACGACGACGGCATGGCCAGTGACGGCGCCGATGCTGATCACGCCGGCGACGAAGACGGTGCCTTCGCGTCGGTGATGAACGTTTTGGAAGGAGTTCGACATGCGCGCGTGGCCGATGCGCGAGTGGCCCGCGTGGCATTATTTGACACGGATCGTGCCCCCCCAGCACACGCGCAAGGGCGTTCGAATGATTTCGACATGCGGCGCGACAGGCCCGTTTGCCAGAATGTATGATAAAATGTGTAAAATCCGGCGGTGCTCCTAAGAATGCGCAATGCCGCGATGTTTTTTTGTTTGTTTCTTTTTCCTTTCTATAACTAGAAAAATGGTGTTGCGAAACCATGTGTTGTTACTAGCCGGCCGCTCTGCGGTTGATCGGGAGTTTCTGTATATAGAAGAAGGTGCGTGCGCCTGTTGGTGAGGGTGAGGATGAGGTTCCTCCTCCTCCTCCTCCTCCTCCTCCTCCTCCTCCTCCTCCTCCTCCCTTCTCTTGCCTCCGTCTGTCCTCCTCCGCCCCACAGCTCCATCATCTTCTCCTCCTCCTCCTCCTCCTCCTCCTCCTCCTCCTCCTCCTCCTCCTCCTCCTCCTCCTCCTCCTCCTCTTCCTCCTCCTCCTCCTCATTCCTCCTCTGGGCACCTCCCCCGGGGCGCGGATCCACCGGATCTGTCCGGATCTGTCCGGAAACGGTGCGGGAG